AAAAAAAAAAAAAAAAAAGTCTTGCCGGAGTGGGGTACAGGGGACGGATTGGGGGTGTTTGAGTCTTTTAGGTGAGTGGGAGACATAGATGGTGGGATATCAAGCGTCCTACCAGTGCGAGGGCTAGCTGGTAGAATGGAAATAGGGTACAGCAGCAATGGAGATTGTGGCTCCGTTGCAGTAAGTCTTGCTGGAGTGAGGTAAAAGAGGATCGATGGGGGGCTCCTGAGTTGTTTTCTGAATTTTATCCAATTCTGAAGTTTGTCGTAGTAATTTCCTAAGTAGCTTTAATTTTTCTTAGCCTAAGCCGCGTAATGGCCGCGGTATCTCAAATTTTCAAAATTCGATGTAAATCTCCATATGGGACGCTGGGCCGGGTTCCCAGCGCGTGCTGCTCCCCATGAATAGATTGGAGCCTTGTTCCCAAAAAAAAAAAAAAAAAAAAAAAAAAGTTAGCATAAAGAAGCAGTAGGAACGCTAATGGTTGGACGATATGAGAGACCCGGTGAAGAGCAAACTAGAGTTGTATCCATTGGGTGCGTTGTGGGAAACCCGTCTAGGCAACAAAGGCTCTTTACAGTGTTTTGGACAGTAATGATGAGAGGGTAACCCTACAGCTTATTCTTCGTGCCCAGCTCCTGGTCATAGAACCTATGGGTAGTTTGAGTTTCTACAGGCTTAAACGTTTACTTGGATCCTGGCGGAAAGTAACATTGCCGATTTAGGCAACTGAGCTCGGTTCGATAGTAGTTCAATATCGATGAGCGACACTGCAATGATTGGATAGTTGGCACAGACTGAACTTTAGCACCAAGTAGGATGGTGCCTTGTTTCTACACGAAATTACTTTGAGCTTCAAGGGATTTTGGAAGATGAGGATAGACCCTGTCTCTTATACACATCTAGATGTGTATAAGAGACAGATCATGCATCTCAGAGACAATGCCATCCTAACCAATGTCTACCATAGCTGACCTGTTCTCGCCACCTGGACTATCCCCGGACCCATAGGTTGTCAAGGCAGCCCCCCCTGGTTCGCCACTGGATTGCCTTCCTCCCCTGTCTCTTATACACATCTAGATGTGTATAAGAGACAGCCACCTGGACTATCCCCGGACCCATAGGTTGTCAAGGCA